AGAAATATCCTCTTGCGAGGGATAGCACATCCATTGCTGTTTGAAAGATTGAGAGAAGGCAGGTTACCTGATGTATCAACCTTTGACTCAATATGATTAATGGGGGCAGTTCCTGTTTCAGGAACAAATTTCTACAAGCTTATGTCTTCAAAATCTCATAGCCTGTTGTTCCCTGGAGGGGTGGGCGAGGCTCTTCACAGGAAGGTAACATATTGAATATTTAGCTATAGTATTGTGCAGCTGTGATAACTCAACTCTAGGTAGCTAGGCAGATTGATTAATTAATTTTTCCAAGGTGAAGCATACAAGTTATTTTGACCAGAAAAGTCCGAGGCTTTGTGAGGATGGATGCTAGATTTGGAGCCAAAATAGTAGCATTTGGTGTTGTTGGAGCAGATGATTTTGCTGAAGTAATTTTTCATTATAGTGATCAAACGAAGATACCTTACTTTAGGGATTTTATAGAAGATTTGACAGAAGAGGCTGTGTTATTGAGGTATATATTCTGATCGAGTCTTAATTTACAAAATGCAATCAATGTCCATTTGATGAGCTTTCTGTAATCTTGAAATGATAGGAATGAAGGAGATGGCGAGGTGTCAAACCAACAACTTTACCAACCATGACTGGCACCAAGGTTTCCAGGAATATATTATTTTTATTTTGGGAACCAATTGAAACCCAAGGTATTTACATATATAGTCTGTTTACACTAATTTATGGAGTAATTTTTTTATTTATGGTTTGGCTCATGGCTGGCTTTAATTGAAACGTTAAAAACTGTTTGTTTGGTTTTATTATATAAAAAGAAGAAAGCAAGAACTGAAAGATAGGGAGAAATGCTATCAACTGTATTTACATAGATGCATTGCTTAGTTGAAGCAGAAAAGAGAAGAAGATCCATACAGGAATATTGTACCCCGGCTAATGCACCAGGCCACACGTGGTTCCAACTCTTAAGCTCCTTCCTTTGACCTTTAATCAATCTTGTTATTGAGTGGTGTTGAATCCTGGGAGTAACTTAACAAGTACTCGCATAACTTGACACCGATTAAAACTTTAATATGCATCATTTTTTTGTTTGTAATATGCATAATTTCTTCTAGAAATTGTATGATACAGCTATAAAAATAATTATATTTAAACTCTAAAAAAAGGTCATTAGTAAATTTCAGTCTTTTTGGTTTAGCTATAGCCTTTCTATATTTGAGTTTGTAAAAGTATTAAATCAAAAATTTATGACACTGCATGTCACCTCAAATCTAAGGTAACTTACGGCAATTGAGGACTAAACTACTTTTAGGCATTGCTAAGATTCGATCCGAGGTTGTTTAGAGTGACTTGAGATAGTTTTTCATAATTTTTTTTTTTTTGATCAGCAAAAGAAAAAATTAAAATTAATGAAGCACAAGGGGTGCTCCTGCCCTTATACAAAAATTAGGAGACCAGAACAGAGGAGAGCCACTCTCCTAATAACCATAAAAGACAACCAAACAACCACCACCTGAACCAAAGAGCGTCAGGTGCCCAAAACCAAACATTTAAAGAGAAAACAGCTCCGCCTCTCCATCAACTAGATAACGCTACCGCTTTAAAGAACTGCTTCCTCATCCTTTTATGGTTTTTGATAGACATAGCACACTCCATTGGACAGGATTGCCATTCACAAAAGGAAAAAACACAGCCATGGACTTTGGTTTTAATCCATAAAAAGGTTTTAACTTGCATCCTTTCCAGCAGGTTTTCTGGTATTCCTTCATCTTTACGAAACACTTGAACATTCCTTCTATACCATAAATACCAAGCGACCACTAGAAAAATACATGAGCCCATCTCCTTCCCAACTATTCTGCCCAAACCTCCAATGAAAAATTCTGCCAATCCCACAACTGTGTTAGGCAAAACAGACTCTAAGCCCCACCAACTCAACACTTGAGTCCAAGCTAACCACGCATTATCACATACACAAAATAAATGATTAACTTCCTCCACCTTCCCATTGCAACATTCGCATAAAACCCCCTCCTGCAGCCATATCCCTCGTTTTTGCAAGTTATTCTTTGTTGGGAGTCTATCTAAACCCAGTCGCCACCTAAAAAAAGCCACTTTGGATGGCACCAACCTGCACCCTATTAATTTGCACATCTGTTCCTCCAAAATCCTCTCCGAAGAAGCTAAAAAAACATACGCTAGCTTCACCTCATATTTACCATCCAACCCGTGGACCCACTTCCAAACATCCCCAGCCCCCTCCTTTAGGTTGACACCCTCCAGCACCTTCTCCAACAATTCTTCCTCATCTTTCTCTCGCCCTATTGTGCCCCTCCTCCACTCCACCCGCCAACGCCATCTACCCTCCTCCCAAGTCCCCATTTCAGAAACCTTACCCTCCTTCTTTACAGATAATGCAAATAACCTTGGAAAAAGATCCCTAAGGCTTTTATCTCCAACCCACCTATTAGACCAGAACTCCACTCTATTTCCTTCTCCCACCTCCCACTTGAAACCCTCAACTAACATGTTCCTATGTTTGAGAGACAGACCCCCTATCCTTATGATGTCCCTCCAAAGCTTTGACACCCTTAAACACTCTATTGAAGTAATATCGACCTCCTCCCTACCTCCATAATATTTCTCCCTCACCACCCTTTTCCATAAACTCTCGACCCCGTCACCTAACCTATACCACCACTTTCCTATTAATGCCCAATTTTTCGTCTGTAAATCTGGCACCCTAAGACCCCCTTTGGCTTTATCACGACATACATCTTCCCATTTAACCCATGAAATTTTCTTATTTGACCCTGTCCCGCCCCATAAAAAATTCCTTTGAATTCTAACTAACTCCTCAAGCACAGAATTTGGTAATAAAAATAAAGACATATAAAAAATGGGAAGTGCAGAGAGTACTGATTTTAGCAAGATGAGGCGGCCTCCAAAGGAAAGAGTAGCGGCCTTCCAGACAGCGAGTTTGGCACGGAATTTATTTACTACCATCTCCCATAATTTCTTGCTCCCAAATCTGCCATCAACAGGCAATCCCAGATAGAGAAAAGGTGCTCTTCCAACCCTACACTGTAACATACTCGCTGCACCTTTAAGCCATTTTTCAGACACATTGTAGCCGAAAACACTGCTCTTGCTAAAGTTAATTCTCAACCCCGACATAAGCTCAAACCATATTAGAATGTCCTTCACCATACGTATATTCTCAGCATCCGCTCTACCCATTATAATTGTATCATCCGCGAACTGGAGCAACGACACTGACAACCCTTTCTTTCCAATCTCAATCCCGTGCAACATTTCCTCCTTTACTGCTCTCTTTATCAGCCCTTGTAACCCCTCTGCAATCATCAAAAAGAGAAAAGGAGATAAAGGGTCACCTTGTCTCAAACCTTTACCCATCTCAAACTCCTTTGTCGGGCTTCCATTTACCAGGACCGAGATTCTCGCCGTTGAAAGACATTCCCTAATCCAGCCTCTCCACTTTGTTCCAAAGCCAAACCTCTCCATCATCCAATCCAAAAAGGACCAATCTACGCAATCGTATGCCTTTTCGAAATCTGCTTTGAAAACAAAAGCTGGCTGTTTCTTCCTCTTAATTTCATCCACAACTTCATTTAGCACCAAAACACTATCCACCAACTGACGGCCCCCCACAAAGGCAGATTGCGTTTCACTCACTATTTCTGCTACCACAGATTTCAATCTATTTGCCAGCACCTTCGCTAATAATTTATAGACACATCCTAGCAAGCTGATGGGTCTATAATCCTTTAATCCCCCAACATTCAACTTCTTAGGAATCAAGGCTATAAAAGAAGAATTTAGGCCCCTCACCAATTTTCCATTACGATGGAATTCAGAAAAAAAGTTGATAAAATCCTCCTTTATGCTGTGCCACGCAAATTTAATGAAGTTGAAATTGTACCCGTCAGGTCCCGGCGCCTTTGAACCATCACAGCTCCTTAACGCTTCCTCGATTTCTTCCGCTGAAAAAGGTCTTTCTAGCCAATCCTTCTTCTCCTCTGAGATCTGCTGGAAACTAATATTCCCGGGTTTGGGTCTATTCCATGACTCTCCTTGAAACAGGCTTCTAAAATATCTGCAGACCTCATTTTTGACTAAATCTGGATCTTCAATCCATGCCCCTTCACACATTAAACCCGCAATATTATTCTGTGCCCTTCTTCCTTTTGCGACTCTATGAAAAAAACGGGTATTTGCATCTCCCTCACTCACCCATTTACTTCTTGATTTCTGCTTCCATATAAGTTCCTTCTTTCTCAAAACATCCCACATTTCCGAGAAGCCTTCTTGTCTCTTCACAATCTCAGCATTTTCCAGATCAGCTATCTCATTCTGCATATCAACCTGCTCAATCTTTTTTACTGCTTGCTCATATTGAGCTTCCATGTTCCCGAAGACTTCCTTGTTCTAGCCTTTTAAAAATCCTTTGAGTAATTTCAGCTTTTGCTGGCATTTATACCCCGCAAAGCCCTCGACCTCCATTTCACTCCATTTATCATAAATTATAAATAACAATTTGAAGGATTTTTTCAATATGTGCCATTAACATGTATTTATACATCCTTCTGATATTAATTTGTATTGAAAAAAAAAAAGTCAAATAGATTATTTTAATTATAGATTATATTAATTAGTCAAGTGATTAAATAAAGATCAACTCTGATTTTTTAAAGCCAATTAATATTAAAAATTTTGTCCTTAAACATGTGCCCTACAAGTTAAAAAAAAAAAAAAAAAAGATGATTTGAAATCTATATGTAAAAGTGGAGATATGAAAATGTAAACAATGATATACTTATATTTGATCAAATTTAAAATAAATAATGTATTGGCTAAGCTCTTGTTGGTAGAGATTATAGTATGTCATGTATATACATGGTTGTGCTATTGTTAGGGCAAGGTCATATGGTAAAATTAAGGTCATTATGAACTACA